GTCCGCGCTTACTATTGTTAGGTATCGGGCAGTCTCGCTGTCCGCAGCAGTCGGGCATCCAGAGCGAGATTACTCCTCAAACGAATTTCTCCCTAAAGAAAGCGCTAATCAACCGCGATTGTTGAATTGGGATGTTCGGCTTCTTTGAATGCAGGGCAGATGTAGACGACCTCGAGTGTAAAATACGGCTTTTGTAGGATCTCATGAAAACTATGGCGTCAGCCAAGTGACGTCATTGTTGCTTTACACGTATATATGCGACTTTATATGACTTGCCGAAGTGAAATTGGTGGATCTCTCCACCTTCCTCCATGGGATCCTTCCTATTAGTCATCTGAGAACATCTAGATAAGATAAAATTTCACTCGAGACTTTCTTCAAACTAACACCTCTCTTTTTCATTTGATATGCATTTCGTGATATTATTTTCATATAGACAGCTGCAAGCCGTCATACAACTACCGCTACACTAAACGAGATGGGTGACCTTGTCTGTAAGTACGCAGAACAGGATAATCAGCTGGTGTCCTTGGAGGTCAGGTTCTCTTCTTGACAGAGCATTAGAAAAAACTTGTCAAGTATTCAGATTGATCTCACATTAATCACTGTAATATTCGTCATTTAGGAAGATATTGTCGCGGCTGAAAATTCCACGTTACAAGAAACACGCGGTGCTTTTGAAATCGAGCAAGAAGTAAATGAGTTAGTGCAGGTAGCTTACATTTCTATTCTATTAGTGCCTGAAAAATTCAAAAAAGTGGCATATGTCATGACTCAACTCACGGTTCAACGCAGATGGCGGTTGAGTGAAAGCATTTCCCCGTAGGTCAGCATCCTTCCGATACAACTATTCTGACTTTCTTGGGTGATCCTTGATTGTTGAGTAGAAGCAGACAGTTGGAAGCTAGTTGATGCGTTTGGAAGCCACTTTTAAATTTACGGTTGATCAAGTTAGTAAGCGCTTTGTGTTTAGGGAAGAGAAGCAGGTAATATCTTCTTCTGACAACCGCTGCAGTAAAAAATGATTTCCCGCGGCAAAATCTCATGTATGGAGGAAATATCTTCATATTTCGTGCATACAGTAGTAAGCCTCTAAAATCCCATAGTCTGCCCGAAATTTCATTGTTAAACTGAGCGTTTGGCAACGTGTGTTTAACGTTGATGCTTGCGCCGAAATTGTTTCCAACTGTGTTGTTTGTTGTAATGTTTGATTCCTTGGTTTAGTTGTTAGTAAAGTCTTTCTAGAAAAGCTTTATCGAGCCATAAGGATGGCGGTGCAGTTTTTCAGCAATATATGAAGCGGACTTATTTTCAGATGGAAATTTTGGTTATTCATTTCTACAGCTATGCCGTCTCTTGTCATTGCGTTCAAAAAACAGGACGAATTTGACAACTTTTTCTCTCTGATGTCTGGCGCAATTGAAGCGACAACAGTCAGATCGGCGAGTTGGCACAAGTTCTGTATGAGGCATCTCCCAATTCTGCCGCATGCTGGCAGGATTATTCTCGATAAGCTGCTTTCTTCTGACATAAATATTCGATCGAGATTTATCGATTGCTTTTTTTTAAAGCATGTTTCAGGTATTTGAGTAGTCGGCTATTTTGACAGGAGCGTGAAAGAATTGTCTAGTTTTTTGTAAATTGTTAGAATATCTGTTATTTCCCTCGTTGTTGTTGCTGTTGTTAGGAATACCGTTAGTCCTTTTGTTGTCGTTGTAAAAAATTGTTTTGATTCTGTAATAAGTGCATTGTTGAATGGGCTTTCTTACTTCCCGTGGAAGCAGATATCCGATCGTCTACTGTGAGTATTCCCTGTATATAAATTGTTATTAATCTTACTGAATGATCCGATGGTGAAGCATTGCTACATATGTCATATCGAAGTTGACGTCAAATATCTGTCAATTTCTCTGTTTAGAAAGTTTCAAGTTCAGTTCAAGTATGCTTTTTATCGGGTTGTCGCTTCGTTTTACATGTTCCATTTCAAATGCATGGGTTTTCCGTTCGGTAAAATTTCACATGGTTTCACTCTTTCTCTTACTACTGGTTCCGCTAAGCAACACTTAACTTTCAGGATCTGTGACTCTTGTTGAAAAGAATGAGAGGGTGCATATTGATCGACTGGTCACCTGGAAGCCGTCTTCCATTGAAGCTCCTACTTTTTTAGGTCAGTCAGCTGTCATAAAAGTGACGCTAGTTGAGAAACTCTCCATAAATAGTTCGCTGACGGGTCCGCCCCGGAAAAACCTTGACTACAATCGTTCTTCTCCCGCAGTAGACATTCCACCAAGTTGTCCGCCTTCCAACGTATGCGATTCCCGAGTTATCAATGAATCATTACTATACCGTCCTTCTTGAAACGTTTCGTTTATGATTTTGATTTGAATGTGACTTCTACAGATCTTTTCATGATTTTAAGATTTTTGCTCCTTATGCAGCTAGACTATTCCTAGTTTATTCCAGGACTGCCGTTCGTGTTCATCTGATTACACAACACATTTCAAATTATTTGGCTCCTTTACCGCAATGAATCGACCTCTATTGGCACTACTTTTGATCCCGTTTCTCACGATTACAAGATGCCAGGAGCATGGTGGGCATGGAGGACATGAAGGACACGGGGCAGAGTTCTTAGGCTTATTCGAAGAGGAGGAAGAAGAAGTGGAAAAGGAAGAGCTTGAAAGATTGCTGGAAAAAGTGAGTCCGTTTCACGTCTTGATTGTGGCATAGTGGTCAAATTCTAGTCAGGGCTTCTTGATTTTTGGTGATTTGATAGGTTATCGTATCTTCTTTAGTTCTCGTAGTTTTGTTGTTTTATTTTACTCCCTATAAACGTTCACGGAAAAATTGAACAGTTGAAAGTTCATGACCGTTTGCGGCATTAATTAATAGCGATGGTTTACAATTTTGAAACTACGCCATCTTTTTTCGATTGGCATCGCGCTGTGATCGATTGTGAGAAGATTCATAAAACAGCGCTCGCGATGAATACTGATATTGAAATCTACATTTGAAAAGTCTTTTTGGATAGATCTCGCACAAACTTGAGTTGGAATTTGTCACCTCTCAAGTTTGAGTCTTCATCTGAGAAAAAAATTCCGCTATTAATGCAGCAAGACTGGAATTCCTTGCGCCTGTCAGCTAGGCTTCATTGTTCCATTTCATACTTTTGTTGACCTTTCACAGGCTCTCCTTGTGCTGTCAAGGCGATATCTTCTTTTCTTATTCCTAGTCTGGTCTTACATCGTTGAAAATTTACTTTATTTTCCAGTTCATGCATAAAGGATTCTCGGATAAGGGTGAATATTGCGCTGTGTACAGACTGAATTATGATTATTATTGTCGAGGAATATGGACCCACAAGAAGCTGACTACTCATAGTCATCATCTACCGAAAATTAAAGAGTTCTGCCCGACATACAAGCGTCATTGCGTTAATACTGCGTAAGTGTCTGATAGCGATGTTACAGTAAACCTGCAGTGGTATAGTTTCTATCTTTGGTATTTAACCGAGCTTCGGGTTTCAGACCAAAGACCAAAGCCCGAGAAGCAAAGAAGTCACAGGCGTAGGAGCAAACACAGGAAGCGTCTCAGTAGAACTCGTCCTTGAGAGGGAGCTCCGAAGCATGACTTATGATGAGATACTTGATGAGGTATCCTTTTTTAGATCCGTAATTGTCGGCGATGAAAGAAACTGCAGCCCAAAGTTTGGGTGGGATTATAATATTTTCCTTTTTGCATTTCCATTTGTCGTTCCCCATCGGTGGGTTTGTTTCCAATATTTGTAAAAGGCTATTCGACTTCGCTTTCTTGAATTCTTCTTCGTAATTCTTTCTATTCCAGCTGGCTAAGATTGTTCCATGCACGCCTGAGTGCAAAGAGTCCGAGTACCCTCACTGCACCCAGGAATGCAAGTGTGACTACGATTATCCAACGATGCAACGTTTCTGCAATCCACCTCCGTTGCCTCTCCTATTGAATGTTTGCAGGTCAGTCTTTGGCGAAGCCCTCAATGAGGTTGCTCACTCTATAAGCATGAAGAACATATTTTTAAAGACCTTTGTTTGCACTGCTTCCTGTTTTTATCCCTTTATAATATCTTATTCTTATGTCTCAAATCTTATATCCATGGATCTCTTCACTGAGGGTCTCTCTCCACGAAAGATCCTTGTAGACATGATTCATTGTGGTGTTTTGTAGATAAGAAGAGGAATTTCAAATTCAAATTTCAAATTTATCATGCATAACACATGTAAATTGAAAGTAATGACGAGTAAAGAAACATGCGAAACGAAAACAAACACCACGCTTAAAAAACTATAAAGGGAACGGAAGGGATATCAGTAAAAAAGAGATTAATTAATCATATGGTTGGTAGAACACTTCCCTGAAGGGTGAGCGGGGTTTGGTAAGTCCGGTTTGAGACGTGGCAAACTGCGCGGGTGATTTTCGAATCCTTACAATTCACAAGATGCTCGCATGGTTCTAAGGAGAGCATTCAACAAAGAAGAACAGGTGCTTGACGTCAAGTGGTCCACGATTCCCGGCTCTATATTATAATATAATGTATGTCTGTATAATATTCCGCAAAGGCCCTTAAATGCTTATACAGATAAGGTCGCTCAATGAAGAGAAGAGGGCCTGAGACACTCCATGCTGCTACTTATTTCAGAAATCGAATGTATTGTCAATTTCTTTGTTTTGTTTAGTCATTCCGAAGAGAAAAGTGAAAAATTGAGAAAATGTGATTAGTGATTAACGCGCATATTTATCCGTCCTTTTTTGCAAACGTCGAACTTGGGTTCTCATTGAAATTTCAGCCGATAACTGGTCTGCTGTCGCTGACCACGCAGGACATTGCTATCCATATTTTAGCAAGGAGTTGCTCCAAAGAATCCTGTCGTTTTCCTGTTTTCTTGAGTAAATAGTTTATTCTCTTTGTCATACGATGGAATTCCGCTTCGCAATTTGCTCAATAGCTTTGTGAGACCGTTCTATTGATAGGTCTATCGTCCGTCACCAAAATGCCAAAGGGCGGCGCTGTCTCCCAAATGTGCTAAAAGACAATGGTTCATTTTTTGCAAATTAGACTAGAGGGAACGGAAGCTCTGTCACTTTTTGTCCCGCAAAAAGCAGGATTTCAAGTCCATTCCATGGTTCTGGAGAGTTGGATGATATAATCGACCTCGACAGAGTGCTATCCCCTAACGCCCAGTGTAGTTTTCCGCACAAATTGCCTTTTGCCCGCTAGGAGACCATACACTACAGATCCCTAAAAAATGAGAATAGCGCTGAAGGTTCAATTAGGCAGTGTGGTTTTTGTTTTTGGGACTATTAAAATGCGCCGCATTAGTAAAACGTGTCTGATAACTTTCCATGACAGACTAACTGACGGTAGAACTTAGGAAGTTTGCATTTTGAGCGAACAGATGGCGATCGCTGTCAAACAAAATCACTGAATTTGTTGATCGACTTCCTACAAATGTCATTTCCGTCCTCATTTGCCATAAAATGCGAAAATTTCTATATTGAACTCAGATGTAGTATTGTAAAAAAGGTATGATCGAAGTATCATCAATCATTTGTAATCTATGGTTGTTCATGATTTCATCAAGTAGTGTCATTCTACCAGCCACCTGACTTCCAAGTATGTGTCTGTACCCAGACATATGCAATTTACGTTTTAATAAGTGATCGTGCGAAGATGGGTGCAACTGGGTTTCGCGAAGAGGGTGTGGTTGAACGTGCATCGTCACGTGGCCTCAACTTGCCTTTGTAATGGCTCCTCTGAGTTATAGTTCTTCTTCCATTGGAGATAATGAAGCCAAAAGGGCTTATGTATTATTCAAAGGGTAGAAAGGCCTTTGCCCATGACAATTCATTGTTGTGGGTTACAGGAAAACGATTGAAAATCCCGCAGTAATGTACTTTCTGAAGGCGGGATTCACGATCCAATTGTAGCCCATTATAAAACAAGACAGAGGTGGTCAGTGTGTAGAGATGAAGAAAAACCCCGAGAATCGGCCTAGAGCCGAGGAAGTGGAACCATTCCTCTCCTCATTGATGCGACTAATCGCTCCCGTCCGCTAACGCTTCCTCTCTCTAAAATGGCTAGAGTCAGACGGCGAAGGGTCACTCATTGGTGGGAGTGGAGCGGCGCGAGCGCCACGGTACTTCCCTGCTAGGCCGCTAAGGGCATACTCTTGCTGCGAAACGCGCATCGTCCCGCACCCTTGAAGGCTCACTCCGATATTACCTGTTCCATACCCAAGCGTAGGCAAGCGGACAGCGTTGATGTCGCGCCCCTTTTGCGGCTTGAAAGTGCGCGACAAAGGCGCAAGAAGCTCGTCCAACCGCAACTCACACCTTCGTCCGCAAGCCCCGCCTTCCGCTGTCGGTTGCCACGTGGCGCTGCTTGAAAAGCGCGGGCGCATTGAGGCAGCGGTCCCATTGCGGTTCAATGTCATTGGCACTGGAGCAACTGGAGCTAGGTTCGTGAAACTCGTCCAACACGCCCCTTCTCTATCCCAAGGTGGAATGCGGCTGAAATAGAGGGGGTCCTTACGGGCGTAATCGGTGGTTTCTCTTGCTTTCTTTTTCTTTTCCAGACCACTCCCCACCTCTAGCTTCATAACTGAACGCTTCCCACACCTATTTTATCCCAAGGCTTGCCTTCGAAGGACCCGCCTGCTTCTCTCTCCGCTAGGTATATTTCCCCTTCATCGAACCTCCCGCCTTAGGCCGCCGTCACACTCGGCGACGGACAAGCGATGGGGCGACGCGATTGGCAAGCGATGGCGCAATCGCTTGCCAATCGCATCAAGTGCAAGCGACGGGCGATTGGCCCCGCCCCCAATCGATGCAGTCGGCTGCGGTATCGATCGCGAGCAGAGCCATCGCTCCGTCGCTTGTGCACTTTGCAAGCGATTGCGCGTCCGTCGCCGAGTGTGACGGCGATCTTACCGAGTAATCCTCCTTTAACACATTGCGAACCGCCGTTGTATGAGTACCTTCGTAGCTTTTTTATATTTTTCAAAATGAATCATCATTAATCTATCAACAATTTTATCAGTGATGACACTTATGGTTTCCCTCTCTGAAAATGAGTGCAAACAGTCAGGAGCATTGAAAAATGTCAAATAAATCAGATAAACTATGCTGTTCGTGCGAAATCGTGCGCCACATGGTGGCGCACGCGGTACGCAATGTGTTAAATCGCTCGGCCTGGAATTTTCCGTCCACTGGATGGTCAAAGGCAGTCCCATGACGTCAGCGCACATGATCAACCATTACGGTTTGAAGAACCAAGAATAGTATCGTATCTTGTGAGAGATGGATACGAAAATGACATCTGATGAAACTGTGCCTACCGTAGTATGCGGTTTGGCTGTCACTGATCATCGTCTGTTCGCTTCGTTTAGCGTGCGTCACTTTAATAGCATCAGGTGATCTCTCCGTGTAATTGTATGCCCTTGTGCGATCATTTTCGGTTTATTCTCATGCCTTGATAAGAGTCGCACTGAGTTTGCGAAGATGATCGATGAACATTTTTATTGTGGATCGAATTGTGGACAGAAAAACTCGTTCCTATCTTTAAAGGCTACTGATATTGACCCTGAACGCGGCTACGGTGCTCTCTTTTGTCCGCGACATCGTTTGATCAATGAAGATCGGACTAAAATGTGATTTTAGGATCACATTTTGCATATGGTAGGAAAGAGGACAGGAGGAACACACATTACATAAATAAATAAATAAAGTTAATGAATAAATACATTTTTTGTGAATTTTATCTTAACACTGATCGCGAGGCTTTTTTTTGTCGAAGAAACTTCCGGAACGTTTGATTGCTGAGTTCCGAATTCGCACTTCCTGTTTCCTGGCAGGATGACTAAGCGATATGTTAAAGGTATTGTCCGCAGTTAGGTGCCGGTGTTAATCCCTACTCGCAGTAATCAGAGTCAGAGCCTGTCTACAAGATGGATCTCGTCTATTCCTGCCTGGCGGTAAAGTACGGCTTCAAGGGTCGAACGGTCTACTTAAAAATATTTCCAAAGTTTTCACAATTTGAGGTGTTCTGCGCCCATCCATAATTTGTGAAACTTGCGTCGTACAATGTGCCATCTCGCCTGTTCCCTCTTATTGACGCTCAATATCTCTTCGCCGTTGCTTGATCCGCTCCACACACGGAAAGAAACTCAAATGAGCGTTTTAGCTTTTCGCTCCTTTTCTTCGGCCGGTTGTTCATTTCGTACCTCTAATTCTATCGATGAGGGATCCAATGCAGCGAGTCATGCTTTAAGGCCGCAACCTCGTCGATACGCTGATTCCATGCGATGTGGAAGTAGAAGTGGCAAAGTGATCAGCTGTAAAAAGCAAAACAAGCAAGATGTCATAGACGCCGCAGAAACGGAGCCCTTTTCTCCCCGTGTTTTAATTTGGATAAGTCAACTATGGCTGCTGACGTTTCGGTGGCCCATCGCAACAACGATTTTCTTACTGCGCAAAAGAACCATCCACGAACGAAAGCGAAAGCTGAGATTTAAAGGTTTCAAGGTGATAGAGCTTGACATAAAAGCACTCCTGATGGTGAGAAGCAAATCACGTAACACATCCGCTGGACACTTTTTTGGCCTTTATACTTTGTTAAGAGGACGCCTTATCCAGTGAAGATTAAAGACGGTCTACGCTCCTTCTCACTTAATGCGGCCGCGTAAGGTTCCTGAAGCTAACACACATTCGTTATTGACATGTATAGACCACTCTTCCAAAGATCCATTCTAAAGTAATATGGATCGCATTTCAGACTGTGGTATTACCGATGTCCGAAATACGAACAATATCATTACGCATCCCAGTACATCTACTCGAAGGCCGAAAAAGGAAAGGAAATACGTGAGTGTCTCTCTATCGAAATCTCTCATTTCTTATCTCATCGGGATAAGTAAAGTTGCAACTGCATCTTCTTAGCTATTAGATGCGGTTGTGATCCTTATTCCTTAGTGTCCAATTCCAAAGGAGAGGAAGGTGGGGGATAGTTCTGGTCATCTTGAACTGATTTCGACTAGTGGAGATGTTAGTGCGCCTATAAGCGTGACGAAACCACTGTCTCCTAGCATTCATGTTCCAACAAATTTGATGTAGAATTTTTTGAAAGAGAATATGAAATGATGTAAGGCTTTCCTCCCAAAATAAAAAAGGGAAGCTGTTTAGAAAAAAAACAGAATCACTCCTTCTTTTAACGGCATTTCATTACATTTTTCTAACAGTCAACTAAATGTCCCAACTGAAACGAAAAAGCACATTTCACTCCACAGCAGCAGCATTCTATCACGCGAAGACTTGAGAAGAATTTTTCATGAGAACATGGTGCACAGTTCGAGCTCAATGGTTTCCAACGGGTAGTAGATCATTGGGGCAATATCAGAAAAGCTGGTAATAAAGGGCCTTGCTTGCTCGGAGCTACAGTCTTTAAAAAGCCATCCACCAGTAGACCGATTGAAGAAATTATGCAGCTCTGGACTGAAGCGACTACAGTAGGCCTCCTTAAGCTCGACGGCGATGGCGGATGACGTCATATCCTGACAACGGTGAGGATAGTGAAGGAGGCCCTGCTCCTGCTCGTGGAGGGACAACTAAGGAATATAAAAACTGTTCGCTGATGTGAACCATGGGCAAAGTGACTTTCTTGTCCCCGCCCTCTCCCCCCCCCCCTGTATGTCCATTATTTTTTCATCACATTTGCAGTTATGAAAGAATCATTTTTTCGCTGCTTGAATGGTTTTTTAGTTCAAAGATCAAAGATAATCGATTCGATGAAATCCGAAAATGACGAAAGTAGTCTGCAAATTGCAAAAAAATGATTTTCATCTTTTGTCTCAGATGCAAGACGTGCAGGGAGTCTTTTCTTTGTCAAGTATGTTACGGTGAAACCGGCTTCAGTTTTACACCAAACTGATCTTTTGAATTTTGATTGTGGGACATGTGTACGTGTTAGGGCATCGCATGCACCCGAGAGAATGATCATTTTTTGACTCAAAGTTTTTTTTCTTTACGTCAGGCTAACCTTGATATATGAACTATAGCCTCAACACATTTCACTCACGTTAGCAGTAAAAGTGGTTGATTTATTGTGTGGCCAGGCAGAAGGTATCATGAAACTGTGGCTTTTACAATGAAATTTAGTAAAGAGGTTCTAGCAACGCAAGTGAATACATTTTCAATGGGAAGTTGAGGAGCAAACAGAAAAAAAAGCGATCCGAAAGGGTACAGTGGAGTTCGGGAAGGACAGAAATGAGGCGTGGAAATGTAGTGACCTAAGAGAAATTGAAGGCATGGGTCGCGATCAGATCCATAGCAAAATTCACTCTTTGAGTGATTGCAGGAATCCCAATCATAGGGGTGGTGGAACTGTCACGACTCGCTAGGGCGCGACAAGAGAGCTAACGTTTCGGCTCTACAGCTGCGACCGCTGCCACTCTTGCCAATCGCTGCACACTTGGCGCCTGCGCCCTCTCGCTTGCGGCGTGCTCTCTCGCGTTGTCCACCCGCTCGCAGCGCGTTGTCTCCGTTGTACCACGTTTCACCTCACAAGAAAATATTCAGTGTCGATGGCGCTTTTTGCTTATTTTCCTATCTAGGTTCCCCTTCGTTCTTACAACCAAACAGCAATTCGATCGCAACCCGTGCTCTATTAATAAAGTACTTATATTTATCAGTACATATGCGGAATGGGTTGCTATTCCTGATATTTAGTTTTTTTTTTTTCGAGGCTTATGTATGAACCATTGAAAATGGGACAAAAGAGGGAGAGTCATAAGAGGAGTTCAGACATAACAAAACGAGCAGTTTCCTGGTATTCCTTTTATTCATTTACTCCGCTCGTTTGTCGAGTTTGCTCATTCTCTTGTAAATTGCCATTTTCTTCTGATCAAATTTTCTCTTACCATATCATTGATCATAGTTTAATTATACATGACGGCAAACCTTCAACTCTTTTTTGACACTAGTCGGATGTCACAGTAGAATTGACTCGATAGCCTGAAAATTTCGTACAAAAATATGGATGAGCAGTTTTTTTGGAGACTCGCCATACCATGGTGACATTCGAATTCTTATTATCGTACAGTGTCCACCAGTCTGCGGGATCGGCCGATATTGAAGCCATTTTTCCCCTCCCTAGAGGCAAACCCCGGGATTAGTCCGACATTTGGGAAGGATACCGCGCGGGAAGTTGAAGGTCTAGATTGCTCCAGTTTTCGTTGCAAAAATTGCGCGGTCAGGACGCTAGTCGGGCCTGCAATATCTATCCCCGTTGGAACGCTTCCCACCCACCTCGATGATGTGGAGATCAGCGTGCTCTCTCGAGCGGCGCGAATCTCTCGCGTGTTTTGTCTTCTTTGATCGCGTCATCGTACCACATCCGACCCAAGGTGAATAACGGTCGAGGAATTCCTCGACCATCGCTCTCTGCTGTGCGAGAGTAGAGCCGATAGTGAATGTACGCGCGGAGAGCACAGACGGCTCGCGGGTGGCGAGAGTGAATATCCGCGCGCGAGAACGTAAAGGATCAGGCGAAAATCCTCGACGTGCCGTTGAGGAATCCTCAAGCAATATTCACCCTGATCCGACCTTATTGAAGGTTGAGGCTTAATTTCAGCGTTACCAAAGATCTCTCTTGCTTTGTTCTCCACTTCCAGGTCGTTCCGCAGCTCCGTCATCACTACGAAGCGCTCTTATCACCAGTTTTATCCTGGAGCTTGCGTTCAATTTCCCGTGGTTGGATGCGTCGTACTTACACGAAGCCTTTTATTATGCTAAGGGGTCGTTGTCGAAAATTTCGAAACGAGAGGTCGTTCTCAAAGCTCTGGAGGAGGTCGAAGGAGGAGGCTTGTAATGTGTGAATGGTTTAGAATTCGCTGTAGGTCACATATCTGTCTCTCGCCACTCTATGCACTTTTGCAGTTTTTTTTTGAAATTTGGGGGGGGGGGTGTACATGTAATAGCAGGACAGGTTTGACGGCATCGCCATCTACTAATGGATAGTGGGGCCATCAAAGAAAAGTCTACAGAGAGACAGAGCCTGACTAAAAAATTGTCTAAACGTGAAGAACCTTCCTTAAGGGGAGGGGCTCGAAAAAGCGTCTACAGTACCAATGCTTCCGGAGTTTGCTTCCGTTAAAAAAGTTGACAGTATGATACGCTCACGTATTTTGAAAAAAAAATTCGCTTGCTCATCTTTTGATCTTTTACGCTTCTGTAAAGGACAATTTACAACTGGACAGTTGGTATAACTTTTTTGTAATCAGCGTGACTTTCAGCGACTCCGCGCCCGATCACGACCGAGGAATGGCAGCGCTATTATGGAAGAGTGAGTGGATGATACTCGTCGGGTTTCTTGGTGATGTGCAATGATTACATATTATAGAGCTACAGCTTTTAGGATAGTCTTTATTTTGTACATAATTTTGATTCGAACGATTTGTGCAAATCTTGTTTGAAAGATAATAAATTTGGAGTGAACTTGCTAATTGGGTGAATAAGTTGAATTGATGAAACGACCAAGGTTGACCTCTTGTTTTACGCTGCGCCACGCACTTGAAGCATATTGAAAATCATATAGGCGTTGTATGTGAAAACGGTGAGAGTAGGAGATGTTTCGACAATTGTTATAAATTTTCAGATAAATTTGACATTTATCGAAGGCACGATTCGTGATTGAAATAGTGTGTTATTTTGCTTGAAAATTAGGAGGTGCGAGGGGAAAGATCAGTTGGGAGAAAGCAAGAAGTTTTGAAGGAAATACTGAAATTTGAATTGTGAAGTCGATGGTGGTACAACGAAGAGACACAGCGCTGTGAGAGCAGAAAAACGAGAAGCACGTCGTATCTGAGAGAGGCGCAGAAGTAGCGAGTGTTGCGGTTGTTAATAATGGGAGTGCTCGCAGCAGTCGATTTAAGGCCTTAGTACCCTTTTCCTCATTTTCAAATCGCGATGCTACCATCGCCACTGTGATTGTGGATTCTGCTATCTCAATTCAAAGTAGAGATTCTCTGGAACTGGATCGGGACCCGTGTAAGCGAATGTGGATGGAGAAGGTGTCGGACGCGTACAGACAGCGTGACAACAAACTGGTCGGTTTTCGAACGGATTTCGCCCCAAACTAAACACTTAAGGTGCCCTGGGTCATTCAATTGGTACTATGCTGTCTTGGGACTGTAAAAACTCTGCATATTATAAGCTGCCGGTCACTTTCAATTTAAATGCAAGTTTTTAAAGGAATCTTGCGCGGAAAAATCATGATTCTATTTCAGCCATAAATCACTGGCTTGAGACTCATTATCCACGATAATAGTGAAAAGAACTGAAGTATTGCTTTCGTTTTGATTAGAAATTCGAAAACTCGAAAAGGCTGCTACGCGTTCGAATTGCCCACGGACGTCTTTCACGAATGCTGGCGACGGGGATGCTCAAACTTGGTTCTTGGAGTGCATTCACTAGAAGCTCTTTCTGGCCTTCTGCTTCGTTGCATTCACATCTTACACTTCTACTCCATCCTATTCCATCGATCGATTTGTCTCCACTCTCCGAAATCGCGCGCTTTAACCCGATTCTCTCATTGCGTCGCCTGGTACGTAGCCGGCCAAACGCCGTCTTCTTTCCATGCCTCGCCTGGCTCTGCCTCCTGGTCCTTCGATGGTCCATAACGTGTAGTTTTTGTACGTTTGTTTCTCTTCAGAAACCGAATCTTCATGCGTGAAACTTTGTGTGCTATTTCCAGTGATCACAACTGACATATTCATGTTAGGAAAGAGTGCAAGAATTTTCCGCGCAAGATTCCTTTAAGACTTCGTTTCCATAATAAAAAGCGCAGCTTCTACAGAATACTTCGATAAGTCTGCTGATAGAGTCCTGCTGATTAAAAAAGGATGCATTTTGATCTTTCCAATCGGATTTATTTAGCCTCGCTGGCCATGTACGGTAATCGTTGGGGCATTGCCGGGGCTTAAGCCGTTTAGACACGGTGAGCACTTGAATGTGGCGTCAATTATGATACTTTGGCCGCAGTCACGTACAGTGTGAGAGCGAACGTAATCAACGACGCCACTTTGCTGTGCAAGGACGCTACCCTGCCATCCTGGGCAGCGATCCAAAAATAGAGCGACGCCGCAGCGTTCGCCGTCCCGCTGGTGCGGGGCGGACCTGGACGCCGCGCCACGTCGCAGCATTCGCCTCGCCGCTCGCGCGGCGAGGCTGAACGCTGCGCGCGCTTCGCGCGCGAGGCAAGGGGAGGTGATCCCCGGGGTGCCGCCTCATCCAATGTGAGGCGGCAGTTGGTCGTGTGGCAATCAACCACCTTCTACATAAACGGCGCTTAGTACTCTGCGCGGGCCTGCTCGACACATTCTCTCTCCGTTGAGAGGGCGCAAAGAAAACGATAAAGGGGATGCGAGCACACGCTTTAAGCGCGTCAATACGTCGCGCATTGTACGTGACTACAGCAGGAACATCATAATGCACGCTCATTCAGGTGCTCACCGTGTCCAAACGGCTTAAGTCGCATTGCCTGAAACCTACTGTTAGCAATGAATGAGGATCCATGAAATGTTATAAGTTCCTTTTTAGGTATTTTTCCAGACGCTGACTTATAGCTGTCTGAACGTGGCTTATGTAGAAACTTTAACACTGTACGGAGACTTTTTTTTTTTGAAATTTCGTTCCATTCTCCCGTATAACTCATTTAAATTAACTTATTCAAATACTCAATTGATCCGAATGTTAGTAAAGGTCAGTTCAAATTAGTCACTGCCTCTATAGTGTCCTATAGCTACGCCATGCTCATGGTGCCCTGACCATTCAGGGAATCGAATGTCTCCCCAGAAAGGAGTGGGTAGCAAGAGGTCACCACCAGGGTGACCATCGGTCGAGGATTTCTCATCGGCTTGTCGAGGATCTTCGCCTGATCAAATACGCTATCCCGCGACAACATTCACACTCGCCGTGCGCTGCACGTACGTTCACTCTCGGTGCTACTCTCGCACAGTACACAGCCATGGACCGTTACTTGCCCTGGTCACCACATAACTATGAGCGTCGCATGCACGGGCGCTACGTTGTTGATCCAAGAATTGTTGTCAAAACGGGAATATCATTGGAAACAGCTTTCTGCGAATCTAGTGGTATTAGGTCGGTCAAAAAGTATCCGCCGTTTTGCACTTCTGGTACTTCTCTGCATTTTTTTGGTAATTTGTTCCGCAACTATTCAGGCAGTTCGGATGTCATCTTCTAGGGGGAACCCAACCCTTTCATATGCATACGGAGGTTTAAGGTGAATTTGAAAACCTTGTCGTTCTAGAGTTTTTTTGAAACCACGGGAAATCGTGATTTTCGGCTGTTGGCATGACTTCAGACTCGGAAGAAACACTCCAGAGGCGGCTCGTAATATGGCGGCTGCTTTAGTAGGAAAAGCACCTAGAATATGCACAGCGCGAGATTACGTCGCCAGGTTTGGGCTTGAAGAAATAAAGCTCAAAAGTGATGCACGTAGTAAGAGGAATGCCCCAATATACAGGATTGTGCAAAAGAAACGAAAGGAGCTCATCACAGGGGCTCAACTGCAAGTAGAGCAGGAGAGGTTGGAGTCTCTAAGAACATCGTGCTCAGCCGCCTGAACGCTATGAGGAAGGAGCAGAAACGTCGTCACTCTGTTCATCGGACTGACCCGTGCTGGCAGCTCGACTCGTTGCAACGCGCATGGAGGTGCGTCTTGGACTCTACATTGCAACAGAAAGGAGCGCTTCAGAGATAGGTAATAGTGAAGGATGAAACTATGTACCTGCACGATGATAATGTAAAGGTTGCTTAATGGGCGAACGAGATTGAGTTCCCTTGGAGCATCCCGAAACCCAGAGCGCTTCCAACAGGGATTTTCCTCAATGTTTGGTGGCGCAGCTCATTGGCAGGTCTAAGAATCGAGTCAGTCGGCGACGGTGGAGTCTTGCCGTAAAGAATAGAACATAATGCATAAGAAACTGCAGGGATGATAGCCTGCGTGAAGGAACAAATGAGGTTCGATCTGTCACCACGATAGCGCTGGACGGCCCACCGCAAAATGCGCTGTGTAAAATTCATTCAAAAATGAATTCAAGCTTGTTCTGCAATCTTCCCTATAGTCCAGGTATATCTCTGATAAACCACCAATTTTCAGCTTATCAACGCAGTTCTTGGAGGAGAAATTGCTTTGAGAGCAGAGTATGTCAAAATTGCCTTCCGACAG